TGTAACACAGCTCAATGTGCTTCCCGTGCTAACTCCTTTTACCTAAGGGGGAGGTGATGGATAAGTGTAGTATCTCTGGACTGTTAACCCAGAGACCCAGGGAATGTTCTGGGGACCCAAGTTTGTATCCTGCCCCAGCAAATCGTTCAATTTGACTCCAATAGAAGTCTGCAATTAAGAGTCTAATGATGTCCACAAATTCATCGTCAATTGGGACAGCACGGTGGCTCAGTGGTTAGCGCTGCTGCCTCTCAGCACCAGGGACCTAGGTTCAGTTCCACCCTCGGGCAACTGTCCTTGCACATTTTCCCTGTGCCTGTGTGGATTTTCACCGGGTGCTCCGGTTTCCTCCCACAGTTGAAAGATGTGCAGGTTAGGTGGATTGGCCATGCTAAATTGCCCATAGTGTCCATGGGAAATGCAGAGTTACACAGATAGATTGGGGGCTTGGGTCTTGGTGGAATGGTCTTCAGGGGGTTGGTGAGGACTCAATGGACTGAATGGACCTTCTTGCACACTGCAGGGATTCTATGATTCAATAATTGTTGGAATAACCCATCTGGTTCACCAGTGTCCTTTAGGGAAGGAAATTGCCATCCTTACCTGGTCTGGCCTACATGTGACTCCAGACACAGCAATGTGGTTGACCCTCTGGGCAGTTATGGACGGGTGACAAATGCTGACTGAGCCAGCGACACCCACATCCCATGAATGAATGAACAATTAAGAACTGGAACAACCTCCTCCAAACCTAAATTTCCATGTTTTCTTGGGATTAATTCAAAGAAAGTCTGTCAAATACTTATTTTAAAACTCGTGACTCCACTCGTTGTTCATCTCCTATGAAAGTTCCCAAGTTGAAGACTTGAGAGAGAAACCTCACCATGCCCTAAGATGACTATCCATCATGTTGTCAAGGTATTGGGCTGTAACATTGTGCAATAAGGGTTAAGAACTATAAGGTTAAACAAATGGAGTTCCTAATCTTGGCCAGTCAACTTGAAGGAGACAAGTTACTTCCCCATATAAAGGTGAAAGAAGTTTGGACAGGAGAACAAGTCAAGCCAACTCTCCATTGGTTAGAGTTATACTTGACACATAGGAAGATGATTGTGGTTGTTAGAGGTCAGTCATCTCAGCTCCAGGACATCTCTACAGGAGTTCCTCGTGGTAGTGTCCTAGGCCCAATCATCTTCAGCTGCTTCATCAATAACCTCCCCTCCATCATTAGGTCAGAAGTGGGGATGTTTGCCGATGCTTGCACAATGTTCAGCACCATTCACAACTCCTCAGCCACTGAAGAAGTCCATGTCCCAATGCAACAAGATCTGGACAATATCCAGGCTTGGGCTGACAAGTGGCAAGTAACATTTGTGCCATACAAATGCCAGGCTATGACCATCACCAACAAGAGAAAATCCAACTACCGCCCCTGGACATTCAATGGTGTTATCATCATTGAAGCCCCCACTATCAACATCCTTGGAATTATCATTGACCAGAAACTTAACTGCATTCACCACATTAACAGAGTGGCTACATGAGCAGGTCAGGGGCTAGGAATACTGCAGCGAGTAACTCAGCTTCTGATTCCCTAAATCCTGTCCATCATCTACAAGGCACAAGTCAGGAGTGGGATGGAATACTCCCCACCTGCCTGGGTGAGTCAGCTCCGACGACACTCAGGAAGCTTGACCTCTTCCAGGACAAAACAGCCCACTTGATTGGCACTGCGTCAACAAGCATCCGCTCCTTCCACCACCGACGCTCAGTAGCAGCAGTGTGTACTATCTACAAGATGCACTGCAGAAATTCACCAAAGATCCTCAGACAGCATCTTCCAAACCCATGACCACTTCCATCTAGAAACACAAGTGCAGCAGTTACATGAGAACACCACCGACTTCAAGTTCCCCTCACCATCCTGACTTGGAAATATATTGCCGTTCCTTCACTGTCGCTGGGTCAAAATCCTGGAATTCCCTCCCTAAGGGCATTGTGGGTCAACCCACAGCAAGTGGACTGCAGCAGTTCGAGAAGGCACCTCACCACCACCACCTCAAGGGCAACTAGGGATGGGCAAGAAATGCTGGCCAGCCAGCGACGCCCACATTCCACAAAATGAATAAATTTTAAAAAAAGAGGGTACACTCATCAAAGAGGTGCAAAAGAAAGGTGCGTTTTTATCATAAGGTGAGCAATATCAATTCTTGTGTTCGTGTTTAACCAAACGTTTCAGCATTGCGACACAGGTCAATTGTCTAACATTGTGCACCTTCATACCCATGGATTAAATGAGGGATAATTCACGTCCCTCCTCTGAGCCTCACTAATGTGGAGCATAATTGGAAGATGGGGTAATAATTCCCAGCTGTGTACTCTCCTTCACCACAGTTCCTGCCGAGGGAGTAGTTAACTTGCCTGCTCCATTGCCAAGAACTGGCTTATTCTGTTGTTGCTGATTTAGGACAAGCTATTTTATCTCCTGAGTAAAATGGCCATTGTAAATTAGGTAGGACCAGCAACTGATGCTGTGAAATTATATGGGGTTGGGGGTGAGTGAAGTACATTAATTCTCTCGATCTCTGACTATGTAGGGCAGCCGTAACAAAATCTCCATTGACAGAAATGAAACTCGTCTTCTCCATTGGGTGTTTACTTCATTCCGTCAAGAGGGATGTGTGCATTGCTGGCTGGGCCAGCATTTATCATCCATCCCTAAACTACCTCCAAGAAGTGGGTAGTGAGCTACCACCTTGAGCTGCTGCAGCTCACAGTGTTGTTAGCAAGGGAGTTCCACTATTTTGTTAGTGAAGGAACAGTGATATGCTTCCAAGTTAAGAGAGTGTGTGGCTTAGAGGGGAGTGTGCAATTGGTGGTTCTCCCACAGATCTCCTCTTCCTGTCCATCTAGATGGTAGAGGTTACAGATTAATAAAATGCAATGAGAAGAGTCTTCTGAGTTGCTGTAGTGGAAGCTGTAGGTGATGCACACGGCTGCCCCTGTGTGGCACTGGTAAAGGGAGTGCATGTTGAAAGCCTTGAGGCACTATTCAAATAAGAAAAGTGAGTCTGGTCAATATTCCGAAAGATTAGGTCAGAACTTCCTGTTTAAAACAAAATGGACAAATGGCATTTGTCATTATTTTTGTGCAAAGGTGCGCAGTTTGAGGGAATGGGTAGGCGGTAGCTAGAGAACAATATCCAAAATATAGTACTCCACAAAAGGACATTTTGCTATCTGTTTCACCACTGAAATGCATCAGGCAAGTAGGTACTGAACTTGCATAGTAAATCCAAGCTAATTTTACCACAAAGTTTTATGTTCTGTCATTTCCCACACAGGCAGTTTTTAACAATGCAATCAGTATTAATTAATGCCATTGCTTTATCTCCGAGGGCTGTGAAAACATGATCATTCAGTATATTCAAGTAAATAGATTTCTAGGTATTAAAGATATCCAGGAATGCAGGGGAGATGGTACAGGAGAAGACAACCAGCAATGTTTTGGTTGAATGACAGAACAGGTTTGATGGAACAAATGGCCCACTGCTATTTTCATAATTAGATTCTGACACTGAGAATTAACTAATTCGAGTGTGGGATGTCATTCCTGCAGATAATAAATGTTGGTGCTTATACAAATAAAATTTTACCTGTTATTTTTCCTTTCTGTCCTGCTTTTCCCTTGTGTTCCCCTTGTGGCAGCTTCAGTCAGTCTTTGACTCCATGCGGTGTTTTCTTCGGTATCACGGAGGGTCAGGTCCAGGATTCCAACAGGGGTTTGGGTCCTCGAGCCCACAGCCATGAAATGGACTTTGTCTTAAATTCTCTTGTTTAATTTTTTTTCTATATTATATTATTGTGGAAGTACTGAACTTTTATTTCTTCTTTTATTCAATTTATCACTATGACTTTGTGTTTTTGAATTTCTGTAAAGCTGGGCTTTTTATCACCTTATTTTTCTAATTTTTTCCCCTAAAAATTTGTACTCAACGATCTGTACTCAGATACCTTTGTACCTAAGACGGCAATGTAAGTGACGACTTGTAAACTTTTCGTTGTACTCATGTGTACATGCGACAATAAAGCTGACTGAAATTCAAATTCTCTCCCTTTTTTTGTCCAAAGTTTCTTTCTCTCTATTTCTCTCTCAGTGCCTGACTTGATCTTGAAATCGCTCGATCTGATGTTCACTGCTTAGTCCTTGCATGGTTACTTTGGTTAAGCTGATAGAGATTTTTGCTGTGCCCAGACAGGTTACCAGTGGTGTCTGGGATTGTGGGGAAGAAGTGAGTAAAGGCATTGAAGTGATTGATTAGCACCAGTCATATGGGATGGCATGGTAGCCTGAATGGCCTACCCCTGTTCCTGGGTCCCAAAAGTCCTGGTTTCTGCCTTTGTGATAATATTGACTTGTGCTTTCAACAACCTGGCAAACAAAAGTGTGAAACTCAGATGGACAAGTATTGCTAATGGGCAGATGTTCTGCAGAGAAAAACCTGACCTTCTAGCATCTATTCGTTCATCATTTGATATGGTACAAATTGAATACTTTGTTTATCTATATAACTGTGATTGCACTTCAAAAATGATTGACTGTGAAGAATTTTGGGGAAACCTAAGGGAATAATGAAATGCTGTTTAAATCTCTTTCATCCTTCCCTTGTCCTTCAGCTATTCCAAAACTCAAACACGCGACTGATTCTATTTCGTGCAGAGGGTTTTCATATCTAAAACACAATTTCAAATTAATAACAAAAACCTAACAACATCCTTTTAATTTTCTTTCCATTTAATAGTGATATTGCTTTAAATTGTGCAATGCGGCACACAATTGTAGATTAAGTCACCATTTTAGTTCCTCTAATTGTAACATATTTTCAGGATGTCAATTGCTTAAGTGTGACTGGAATCGCAATGCCAAATAAGATTAACAGTAAATAAAACATTGTTTCATTGAACAGTTGCTTTCCAAAATAAGAAGACAAGTTGCAACAGAGAATAATTATTCCTTTCAGTTGTGGGGTGGCTTCATGCTGAGTTAGAAGCAGATTTCACACTTGAAGAGCTGGTTGTGAGCTGGCAGCTGGGGAGATCAATAGGGTTTCAACGGTGCCAGAGAGAAGAAAGGGGGAACATAAAAACAATGAGAATTAGGTACTGAAACGACAATACAGAATGTGAGACACTTAATAAACATTTAAGTTTTAATTACTCCCTCCTGAATGTCATTATGGTCTACCTACAGCACATGGACAGCTCACCACCACCTCCTTGAGGACAACTAGGGAACGGCAATAAGTTCAAGGCCCACATCCCATGAGTAAAATTAAAACAAAAAGTCTAATAAGGCCTTCCCCTCGAATTGGACGTCAGGGGAAGATTTGGAACACAAGGTGGAAATACGCAGAAAATCTGTCAGCATCTATTGAGGAAAGGCTTAGTGTTTGTCACATATTCAACCCATTTAAAAATGGATTTCCAGGTATCTGCAGAATTTTATGACCTTTTGGTTTGTGGATCGTAATGTGGGCATGTTTCAAACAGTGGAAATGTGGAAAATAGCAATCTCTTTTTCCGCATCTACTAATGGCTATAAAAACAACCTAAGGGTGCAGCTCGGAATCAGTATAAGCACCAGACTGAGAAGAATTTCTTTAAAGGTACAGCATCCAAATGTATTTTCTTTATCTCTCTCCCCACCATGCTTACGAAAAAGTGAGTGCCACCTCATCTGGCAGTGGATGCTGAGCTCTCTTTTCAGGACTGACATTCCAGTTGAGTAAACATTGTGTTGTGAGCTGATTTTAAGGTTGAAAGTTCTGTCTCCTGCAATGGTTTTAACCGACTTCTGTTGTTCTCCGGATTACCTGATAACGGGCCTCCTCGACAAAACGTTATCTTTTCAGCAGAGAAGCCTGGGTGGTCACTTTGTTAAATATTCCTGCATTCGCTGCTGATTCTGACTTTCGTCGGCCTTTTCTATTGAACGCCAGATGACGTTTCGATGTAAAAGTAGCTGGCAATGATGCAATATCAATCGAATGGCGTTTTTGCCTTGCACCTGCACCTGATGGCTGAAAGCACACAAAACCGCAAATCATCAGGGACATAGATAAGGTGAATAGCAAAGGTGTGGGGGAGTTCAACACCGGAGGGCACAGCTTTAAGATGAGAGGTGAAAGATTTAAAAGGGATGCAAGGGGCTATTTTTTCCACATGATTCGTATGTGGAATGAACTGCCAGAGAAAGTGCTAAACGCAGGTACATTTATAATGTTCAGAAGACATTTGGACAGGTACCTGAATGGGAAAGGCTAAGAGGGATATGGGCCCAAACGCAGGCAAGTGGAGACTAGTTTCATAGAATCCCTACAGTCTGGAAGCAGGCCATTCGGCCCATTGAGTGCACAATGACTGTCCAAAAAGCATCTCGTGCAGACCCATCCCCGCATTTCTCATGGCTAATCCACCTAGCTTCCACAACCCTGGACACTACGGGCAATTTAGCATGGCCAATCCACCTAGCCTGCACAGCTTTGGAATGTGGGAGGAAACCGGAGCACCTGGACGAAACCCACGTAGACACGGAGGAGAATGTGCAAACTCCACACAGAGAGTTGCCTGAGGGTGGAATCAAACCCAGGTCCCTAGCGCTGTGAGGCAGCAGTGCTAACCGCTGAGCCACCCAGTTTAGTTTGGGAAACTTGGTCAGCATGGGCGAGTTAGACTGAAAGGTCTGTTTCGGTGTTATATGACTCTATAACTGGCAAAATTCTTAAATAGTTCCTACCTTCTTTCAAAAACAAAGTTTGAAATGTATAATACCAATGCTTTGAGGGTATTTTGTCAACCACATCATATAGGAGTGCAGTCATGAGGAGGTCTGATCAAATAGGTCTATCAGTTTTCCATCCTTAGGGATACCACTGGAGCTGTATGAGTTTTTTGTAACCATCTGGAAGCATTGTCCCTAATATTTTTCAGCTGCCAGCTCACTCAGTGTATTGTATTTGACCTTAAGACCTCCTGTTTCTGAATCCACTTCCATAACCTCTAGGTTAATTGTTTATCCAATATTAGCTAGCAATCTTGTTTAGAGACTGAATGCTTGGAAGCATCCTAGGCTGTAGATATGGAAACAAAAGTTAAAGGTAAGATTGACCCTCTACGGTTTCTGGCTTAGATTCAAGAAATAATGGTCTTCACAGGAAGGCATCCCAACAGTTATGTTTACACTCTGGTCATCCACCGAGACATAGCAGTTGTTAAATTTCAATTGCTCCTACGCAGAGAACAAATTGAAATTAAAATGAAACAAAAGCACAGACTCCACTCTAATTTTGTTCACTGCTTGATCATTATAATTGGCTCGGATATAAGTAACAAACGATAAAATAGAGCCGAGATGACTTTGGAAGTAACGACAATAGTTGTAACATTTTTAGAAAGAAAGGTTTAATCATAATAAAGTGTTACAGTCAAAGGCAAGCTCTTGTTGCTTCAATTAATTTATTGATAGTCCTTTCCTATCATTTCCCTCAGGTGGAAGAATACCAAATTGAGGTAGCACTGAATAAACAGGCAGGTACATCTATGAGTAGTTGAAGACAAGCTCACCAGCTGGTTCCCTGTCAGAACTTTGGGATTGGAGGAAGGTGTTAGGTTTCTCCTCTGTCCTTTCTAATGATTCCAGAAAAGGCAAACCATAATATCTAACACCAAATCTCCCTAGTTACATTACTACCTACTGATAACAGACAAATAATTGAGAGATTTTTAAAATCTAGATTAAAGGGTTTATTGTAAGTAGCAGAAAATGCCCTGCAAGAGAAACCAGATGTAAACTGGTAGATCATCACATTAGACTTCTAATCCAATTTTCACTGGATAACAAGAACAGAGGATAGCACAGAAAAAATTGTTACCATGTAACTTTAAATTTATATGCCTGGCTTTGTGAATTATTGAGCTCCTTTCTTCAATTATTGGCTTTCATTTTGCTAATTTTCAGCCTCTTTCACATGCTTCATCTCTCTGAATTATTGTTCCGAGTTTAGCTTGCTGCTTGAAGTAGTTTCAGACACATGAACTGAAGCAACCAACATATCTGGCAGCACAATCTGTTCGACATCTCAGTTGCTAGCACTGTTGCCTATTGAGTCATCGGATTGTGGGTTCAAGGTGCACTGCAGTGATTTCAACCCAAAACACTAGGCTGACACTCCAGTGCACTGTTGGAGGGGCTGTCTCTCAGATGAGATGTCAAACCAAGCCTTAGATGTAAGATGGATGCAAGCAATACAATGTCACTATTTCAAAGAACATCGAGAGTCTTATCTTGCAATGTCTTAGCCACAATTTATGCTTCAATCACCATCGGATGATCTGACCATTATTGGTGTTTGGCGAGCAAATTACAAGCTGATGCTGGAATCTATACTGTAAACAACAAATGCTGGAGATCACAACAAACCAGACAACATTCATGGAGTAAGAGCAAGCTAATGTTTTGAGTAGACTCAAAACGTTAGCTTGTTCTCTCTCCATGGTTGGTGTTTGGGGAGCTTGCTGCTTAAAAATTGGCTGCCACATTTCTACATTATAATAGTGACTACAGCTCAAAAGTATAGCAATGTTTGTAAGGTACTTCGAGATGTCTTGAGATCACAAAAGACTCAAATGTAATATTTATGTGTGTGTGTATGTGTGTGTAGAAATAAATACAAGTTACAAGGGAGGCAAAGGCCTAGTGGAATTATCGCTGGACTGTTAATCCAGAGACCCAGATAATGTTCTGGGCACCCAGGTTCGAATCCTGGCACGGCAGATGGTGGAATTTGAATTCAATTTTTAAAAATCTGGAATTAAGAATCTAATCGTGAACATGTGTCAATTGTCAGGAAAAACCCATCTGGTTCACTAATGTCCTTTAGGGAAGGAAACTGCCATCCTTACCTGGTCTGGCCTACATGTGACTCCAGACCCACAGCAATGTGGTTGACTCTGGGCAGTTAGGGATGGGCAATGGATGCTGCCTGGTCAGCGATGCCCTCATTCCATGAATGAATAAAGGAAAATAAAAAGTTGTTCTTTCATCTGAGTGGCATCAATTAAAAATTGCAAAACCGGGTTGCTGGTTCGCCCTCACTCATTTTCTGCAAAGTGGAGCAAGAGTTAAAATTATCTCCACCTATTCTTATGGTAAATGTCTTCCTGTTACATGCAGATGCCTTGGTAATTATGAGCAAAGCACCTCATAATTTTGAACGACTTTGTTACAAGGTGCCTTGCAAATCTTTCTGGAGAGCCCAGTTTCTCAAGCTACTCTTTTTATCCACTGCCCCTTACCTGTGGTGTCATCATATCTAGTCACTACCTTGTTATTGTTTGTGACATCTTCCTAGATACAGAAAATCCTGTGTCCCTAAACTTCCCATTTGTTCATTTACTGAGCAGCTGTAAGGTGCTTCCTTGAGAATGTCCACCAGGGTAATGCCAATGGAACAATGATTTTTTTTTAACAGTACCTTTGTAGTACGTGAAAGCACTTTGCTGGACTTGAGGTCAGTCTTCATTTCTCCTTCTGTTTGGGTAAGGTCATTATCCTCATTCACTCCGTTCTCTTTTACCACCTCTTCCTCATTGTCGCTATTGTTACCTAGTTTCCACTGTTTCATCATTTCCAACACATTTTTGGGCTGTTTGCTCTTACTGGCATCCCCCTGAAAACATGCAAAATTACACCTAAAGTGTCAAACTCCTTAATTTGGCAGTGCTGTCAGAGCTGTCAGCAGCAGATCAAAGACGGCAAGGTACTCTTTGCAAGTCCCTACTAGCATACCTCTTGTATCAACATTGATTATAGAAGGCGATTTGATACTCTACAGATTTCAAAGACCTTGCAGACTTGAAAGCAGCCATGAATTATTAACAGCTGTTATGAGACCCAGACATTTTCAACACAGAAGGAAGCCATTCAGCCCATCATGTTCATACTACTCTAATCCCGCCTTTCTGGCTCTTGGCCCTGGATGCCATAGCAATGCAAGTGCATGATTAAAATACTGCTGAAATGTCATGTGACTTTCTGACTTCACCACTTTTTCAGACAATAAGATCCAGACTCCCACCACCCTCTGGATGAAAAGCAAATTCTGCTCAACTCTCCTTCCACTTCTTATCTTAAATCTATGCCTCCTAGTTACTGGCCCATCTACTAATGGAAAAAGTGCCTTCCCATCCACTCTAGCGATGCCCCTCATAATCTTACAGAGCCCTCTCAATATTCCCTCCTCTAAGGGAAACAACCCCAGCCTATCCAATCTTTCTTCATAGCTCAGACCCGCCATCCCAGACAGCATCTCCCTTTCACCCTCTGTAATGCAATCACATCTTTCTACAATGTCGTGACCAGAACTGCATGCAGAACTCCAGATGTGACCTAACCAGCATTTTATACTGTTCAGCATAACCGTGATCCTCCTTGCTCCTGTATTCTATGCCACAACCATTAAAGGCAAGTATCCCATATGCTTTCTTAAGCAGCTTATCTATCCTATCCTGCTACCCTCAAGGATCTGTGAATATACACACCAAGATGTCTCTGATGTTCAGTACTTTCCAGGGTCATATGATTCATAACATGATCCCTTGTTTTGTTAGACCTGCCAAGTGCATTCCTTCACACTTTTCTGGGTTGAATTCCATTTGCCATTGCTCTGCCCAGCTGACCAGTCCATTGATATGCTCCTACAGTTTACAATTATCTTCCTTACTATTTATCACCCTACTATTTTCATGTCATTCACATACTTCTTGACAATACTCCTTTCATTTAATTCCAAATCATGAATGTACACCACAAGAGCCCCAGCAACAAGCCATGTGGAAACGCACTGGAAGCAGATTTCCAGTCACAGAAACATCTCTCTACCATCACCCTCTGCTTCCTGTTTCTCAGTCAGTTTTGGATCCATCATGCCACTTTTGTTGGATCCCATGGGCTCTTACTTTCTTGACCAGTTTGCCATGAGAGTCCTTAACTAAAACTCTTGCCAAATTCCACATAGACCACACCGAATACATTACTCACCCTCAAGCATTTGATCAAAGTTGTCAAACAACTACCGCTGACTAATTTGTGTCTTCCCAGGTGTAGATCTATTCTATCACTCAGAATTCTTTCTAATAACTTTCCTAACACTGGGGTTAGGCTGACTGCCATTTAATTTCCTGGTCGATCCCTTCCTTCTTTTTTTTTAATAATGGACGATGCTAGCAATCCTCCAGTCCTCTGACATCTCATATGTAGCCAGGGAGGATTTGAATTTTTTTTTAAATTTCAAGAATATACTTTATTCATAAAAAAGACTTGAATTGTTATGAAGTGGAGGTAGACCCCACTCTGAGAACTAACACCAAAACACCCAAAGAGGAGCACCTTGCCCTATAATCTGTAAAAGTGAGTGTGAAAAGGGGTATAAACCTGCTCTTCAGCAACTTTGTGGTTAAGTAAAAAAAAAACCTGACACTCACTGTACAATCAACAAGTAACAATTTATCTAACTTTAACAGTGAACAAATTAACTGAACTATTAACAAACCATATAAATCCCTTATAACTACTAACTATTCCCGAATAAAGCAAGATTCTAATGATATGCTTTTCCAATAAATACAAGTCCCACTTATACAAAATAATATAGAATTTAGTCTCAAAATTATGGCTAGGTTGAATGTCTTCCAGAATGTTCTGTGCTTTTTCCATCGAATGTTCTGCCAGGAATGCCTTCTCCATTGAATAATCTGTCAGGAATAATAACTAGTTGTGCTGTTGGTACCTTTGTTTTTAGATGGTGCTTTCTCTAAGACCTGGAGAAGACTGTGAGAGTCAATGATTCTCTAAGGTTTTGGAATAAATTTGTAGCTCGGGTTGTGGGTGTTGAGGTTGGTTGGCTCACCAAGCTGGTTTGTTGTTCTGCAGACGTTTCGTTACTGTGCTTGGTAACATCCTCAGTGGATGTTACCAAGCACGGTAACGAAACGTCTATGGAACAACAAACCAGCTCGGCGAGTCAACCAACCTCAATGATTCTCTCTTGTGAGCTGAGGGCTGTTAACTCCAGTAGATGGCAGTTAGCTTTCTGCTCTTTGTCCAACTGTCCCCTTCTTTTATACCTTTGATGACATATCAATTTCTTATAATAGGATTATTCCTCTGTTGTCAAAACCGTCAAATTTAAATTTAATTGGTTTTGGTGCCTAAGTGCCTGGTTCAAATTGATTGGCTAAATTCAAAACTTGTTGTCTTGGTAACAAAACAAAATTGCTGCTTGGTCTGCTAACTGTATGGCCTTTCAATACAAATGTTTCTATTTGGGTGCTCTCTGTGTACTTGCAAACTTTCAACTGCTGCTCACAGACATTCATTTTACATCTCTAAGAATAGAAAAAGCACATCATCTTTTAAAGGGACCACGCAATGTTTTCCCCCTTAACGTTTTACAAAAACCATATTTTAACTTCCTGCTTCCCAATCCACAAGCACTCTACCCAACCTCGCAACAATATATACATAGTTACAAATGTAGTTTGGTTCTACATAGTAGCATATCAGGGAAACAAACAAACATTGGTTTGTTCGGATAGAGTCAAACTCCAAAAGCATCTCTTACTTGTGCAAAACTATATTTACATGTATTCGAGGCACTGGGCGGTCTAATAACTGAACAGATCCCATTTAATTTCAGCAGGGAGACCTCAGACAGTGGTCTTTTCCAAGTGCGATTTGGCAACAGCTGCCCCAAGTTTTAGTGCGTCCCTCAGCATGTGGTCCTGGACCTGGGAATGTGTCACTCGGTTGGGGTCAACTCCTTGTCCTGGAAGGCCAAAAATTTTGGGCAGACCAAATTGCAAAGGTGCTTGATATTTCCTCTCTCAGCAGCTTGGGATATGTGTCATCTAGGCCTGTGGATTTATCCACTTTTAAGGCAGCTGAGCCCATTAGTAGTTCCTCTCAATTTATAGTAACTTCTTCTAATATTTCACAGCTCCCCAACCCCCAACCCATCCCGCAATGTCTATACCTGCATTTCCCTTTTCCAATGTGAAGATTGACACAAGTATTCATTGAGGTCTGTGCCCACATCTTATGTAAAACAGTTCTCTGAAATTATTTAATGCTGTGGTTTAGCAGTTTGTCCAAATGAGTTTTTGAGATTTCAATATACTTCAAAAGTTTTTGGGAGTTAAAGAAACTGTTTTGTGAAAGATTTTGTGAGAATAAATGGTTTTCTACCAGGCTATTTGATGGCAGGCTATTCCTCTGCACTGTTATATTCAGAAGCATAATTTGAATATGTTTTGCTTGTTAAAATTACAATGCACACCTTCATTTTGATCATCTTATTCATGATTTGTTTGTCATTGTATAACATAGGCAACATGTTCTGCAAACAAAACCATTCTACCCATTTCAAAAAGGAATTGAATGTAGTCCAATTACAACATGCCAGTGCAATCTACTTCCATACACAACTGATGTTATTCTCATGGGTCGAGGTATATATGCATACAGATATATTTACGTCACTGTTGGAATCCAAATCCAAAATGTGTATGCCCAAATTGGAGCCAAAACATACAAATGCAGAACAAATACAGACAATTTGAATGCACGAAGTTCGATCACGAGTGAAATCTTTACTTATCTGTGAAGGTGCTAAGCCTAAATTTTCAAAGTATTTAATTAATAATTACTCACAGTTATCCAATGGTGATTTAGCAATTCGCTGGCTGTCATTCTGTGGGCTGGATCCACTATAAGAAGGCCTTTCAACACTGAGTAAGCTGTTAAAAAGAATATAGAAAACACAATGCAATATTTCCATTGTACTGTATTCCAGCAGAAGACTCACTCTGGTATACTAATAGAGTTCAGTCATGTGAAGCAGCAGAATTACAATAAGGAAATATTGTACCTGAATGTTTGGTATCACATCTCTATTTAAAGGATTGGCTCACAGGAGACCCAACAACAGAGCAATATGTTCCTTGCTCTGTACACCTTCACATCATAACTCTCATATTATAGTCAATAGGCTGACACTTGGCATGCTTAAAAAGTATGGAGAGTTGGTCTATTATTGAAGGACACACATTCAAAGATGAGTTCAAATTTGAACGAGGGGACTGGTACTTTCTGTCTATTGACAAAGAGAGAATTTGTGTAGGTGACAAAGATAACCATGTGCAGGAAGACTGAAAGAAATGTGAGGCCGAGAGATCAGTGTAGACAGTAGCTGCTCAAGATCACTGGCCTGTCCTAGCTGGAGCCCAACGTCGGGCACTATTGGAGTGATCACTGTGAGTTAACAAATAGATATCTTAACTCCAAAGAAGTCACCAGTATAAAAGAGAATAATTTAAAATAATTCACTATAAATAGATTCTTTTTAGATCCTTAACTGTTTTATGCTGTTTCAACGTAACCACATATAGGAGCTGCAGCTTCTTATGTCCTTGCGTGTGTTTTCATGGGTCCTCATCTCTAGGAAGTGTTAATATGTATATTAAACTGAAAATCCCTCTCTAGGACCAATGTCTGCCTCTTGCCTCCTACCTCCATGAGGGAGTTGGTTCAGCTTAGTTGGCTTGGTGGTTGGTTTGTGAAGCAGAGTGATGCTGAAACCATGGGTGCAATTCCCACACCAACTGAGGTTAATGTGAAGGAATCGCTTTCTCAACCTTTTCCCCTCTCCTAGGGGTATGGTGGCCCTCAAGTTAAATCACCACCAGTCATCTCTCTCTAATGACAGAGCAGCCCTATGGTCTGGTAAGACAATGGAGGCTTGACCTGACCTTCACAAGGTAGCAGATATCATTCTCTCTAGTATTTATTTAGGTGTTAATGCCAAAGAAACTTATTAAAGTTGTCAATAAACAACACAATAACAATAACAAAGTATAAACATTAGCACTAGTATTTCGGTTTTTCTAGCTTCTTAGAAAATAGAAATTCACAACTCTGTGCTAACACTAAGTAAGTTATTTTTCTTCTTATTTTCCTGAAATAGCTGTTTTTAAGAAGTTCCAGATTGTTTTCTCTTCAAAGGTTCCGTTGCAAACTCCTGTTTCTAAGGTGGTAGATGGATTGAGATAGATTACCTTCTAACTATTAACTAAAACTTCATAGTCTTTGACACCTTTCTGAATTTAATACAGTTCTTAATGAGACTCAACTCTTAACAAGTTTTGTACTTGAATTGTGTGGTGTCACAAGGTAATGAGCTAACCAAACACATGTTGATGTTTGCAGGTACTTTTGAATTTCTTGCATACCCCTGACAATTTTTAAAAGCTAAGAAATATTAAGCTAAAGTTCAACCAAAATGCAGGACAAAAACAGAATACGTTCTCAAACCATTTGGAAAATTCAGATTAATTCCCTCTCTTGTCACATTTCACTGTACTTAAGGATCTTACCACTCTCACTAATAGACTTCAGAGATGAATGAGAAAAATCTAGTTCCCCTTTTGTAATTTCCTCATATAATTTTTCTGAAGTTGTAGCTGTAAAAGGAGCTTGACCACACAGCCTGTAAGACAAAACAAAGTAAGAAATCATTCTTAGATTTTCAATTTGCTGAGAATCATGCACTAGTGCGAAGACTATTTGGACATTTATTTTAGATACATAGGTGTAATGTCCTGATCAACATCTCCCTTTGGGGTGTTAGCTCTAGGAAGACAATACTGGCAATGGAACATTGGTAATTATCAAATACAAATCTCCAAAGTGCTGCTGATGATGTACAAACCAACACTGGATTGTTTAAAAATTATGAAGCCTGCTGTATGCCTGTGCAAAACCTTTCTGTGATTGCTCAGAAATTAAAAGTCTTTGACTGCCAGTGTGGGGAATGACAATTGCTAAGATTAATTTAGCACTTATTTTTACATAGAATTTTACAGCACAGTAACAGGTCAACTGATCAATGCAAAGATCCTGCCCTTCAAGGGTCTCCTACCACCTTACTTCATCCAACCGAAACACTATTTATTTAACCCTCATATACTTATCCATCATTCCTTTAATTTTGTCTGTTATTCATCTCAATTCCTGCATTTGATAGCAAGTCCCTGGTTCTCACCGGCCTTGAGTTTCTCCTGAATTCCTTATTGGATCGATTAGGGACTCCCTTATGATTCTGGCCGTTTGTTTTGGACTAGCTCACGGGTGGAACCATCTTCTCTACATTTACCTTTAATTCTGAGTGACTTTATTTGGATCAATTTACTCATAAAGTCATACAACACGGAAACAAACCCTTCGATCCAAACAGTTCATGCTGAACATAATCCCAAACTAAACCAGTTCCATATCCCTCCAAACTTTCTTTATACATTCATAGGATGAGGGTGTTGCTGGCTAGGCCAGCATTTATTGCCCATCCCTAATTGCCCTGAGGGCAGTTATGATTCAACCACATTGCTGTAAGTCTGGAATTACATGTAGGCTAGACCAGGTAAGGATGGCAGTTTCCTTCCCTAAAGGGCATTAGTGAACCAGATAGGTTTTTCCGACAATCAATTCATTCCAGATATTTTATTTAATTCAAATTCCATCATCTGCCATGGCAGGATTCGAGCCTGGGTCCCCAGAACATTATCTGGGTCTCTGGATTAACAGTCCAGCAATAATACCATTAGGCCATTGCCTCACCTTGAATGACACATTCAATGATGTGTTCCCATTTGAACAAGGGGACTGGTACTTTCTGTCTATTGACAAAGACAGAATTTGTGTAGGTGACAAAGATAACCATGTGCAGGAAGACTAAAAGAAATGGGAGGCCGAGAGATCAATGTTGACAGTAGCTGCTCAAGGTCACTGGCCTGTCCTAGCTGGAGCCCAATGTCAGGCACTATTGGAGTGATCACTGTGAATTAACAAATAGATGTCTTAACTCCAAAGAAGTCTCCAGTGTAGAAGAGAATAATTTAAAATAATTCACTATAAATGGATACTTTTTAGATCCTTAATTGTTTTATGCTGTTTCAACGTAACCACATATAGGAGCTGCAGCTTCTTATGTCCTTGCTTGTGTTTTCATGGGTCCTCATCTCTAGGAAGTGTTAATATGTATATTAAACTGAAAATCCCTCTCTAGGACCAATGTCTGCCTCTTGCCTCCTACCTCCATGAGGAAGTTGGTTTAGCTTAGTTGGCTTGGCAGTTGGTTTGTGAAGCAGAGTGATGCTGAAACCATGGGTGCAATTCCCACACCAACTGAGGTTAATGTGAAGGAATCGCTTTCTCAACCTTTTCCCCTCTCCTAGTGGTATGGTGGCCCTCAAGTTAAATCACCACCAGTCATCTTTCTCTAATGACAGAGCAGCCCTATGGTCTGGTACGACAATCGCAACCTTTTCTATTGATGTACTTTTCCAAGTATCTTTTAAACATTAAAATTGTATCCCCATCCACCACTTCCTCAGGAAGTTTATTCCACACGTGAACCATCCTCTATGTAAAACATTTGCCCCTCGTGTCTTTTTTAAATCTCTCTCGTCTCACCTTAAAACTGTGTCCCCTAGTCTTGAAATACCCCATTCTAGGGAAAACACAACTGCCATTAACTCTATCTATACCCCTCATTATTTTATAGACTTCTATAATGTCTCCTCAACCTGCCATACTGTAGTGAAAGAAGTCCCATCCTAACCTTCTTCACTATCTACTTTACTACCAATTTTGGTGTTGTCCACAAATTACTAACCGTGTCCTCTATATTCTCGTTCAAATCATCTATATAAATGATAAAAAAAGGACCCGGAACACCGCTGATGACAGGCCTCCAGTCCGAAGAGCAATCCTCCACCACCACTCTCTGTCTCCCGCCAATAAGCCAATTATGCACATGTATAAGGCTGCACATAGGTTTTTGTGGGAAGAAAACAGTTAGAAAATCCTAAAAAGCAATGGAATAAGTACATACAAGATATACATGATGATTCCAATGCTCCATAGGTCACACTGCTGGCTGTAGTCATAGTTATTGATTATCTCTGGGGCTGTCAAATAATGAGAAAAGGATTAGAAATGTAAATGGAGAAACAAAAGTTCTACTTTTCAATTTCCTTTTCCATTGCTTAGCCTGAGCACATTATGTGCTGCTTACCCATGTATAAAGGTGTACCACATGTGTCCTGTAACATCGATTCACTGCCAACACCTGCACCATCCTTCAGCACAGACAAGCCAAAGTCTGTCACCTGGGAACAGAGAAGCAAATGTATTTTCAATAATAGCATGTTCTCTTCCTAAAGGCAGAGACTCACTGAAGAGTATATGGCCTCCCATCCTTCTCATACTTCACCCTGTGGGAGTTCATCTCTGGCGTGTCTCATTCTGGCCTATAGCACTATCAGCCACTATTCTTCATATGTGAGGCAGGACAATTAGTATCAGAAGGCTACTCTCCTATTGAACTCAATCATGTCATTACTTGGAATCTACCGTGCAGACTTTCCAGCAAAGGGGAAACATGGTGTGATTAGATCAGTGATGATCAGAATTGGAACAGACACAGCCAGAGAGTGCTGGAGAAACTCAGGAAGTGTGGCAGCATCTGTAGAGTGAAAACCAGAGTTTAACATTTCAAGGCCAGAGACTCATAAATGCTAACTTTGTTTTTCTCTCCACAGATGCTGGCAGACCTGCTGAGTTTTTCCAGCACTTTCTGGGTTGTTTGTTTCATATCTCCAGTGTCTGCAGTTTTTTTAAAATTTACTTTGTGATCAGAATTGGAATGGCTGGTCAATATTTATAGCATTATCAAGAAAGTTAATGTTAAACTGACTATTTAAAAGAATGGTTGTGCAAAAAGTAAGATGAAGACTTTTTAGACTAAAACATCACATCTTAATATCATCCTGCTGCCTTAAAGGTATAGTACCTTTCTGAGATCTGTGCAATAACACAACACTCCCCTTTTCCTTTGAAGAATAAGGAAACCTGTTCTGAAACAAAAACCTGAAAGAACTGCGGATGCTGGAAATCTGAAACAAAAACAGAAATTCCTGGAAAATCTCAGTAGGTCTGGCAAATAGAACATAGAATTAATATTTCAAGTCCAGTGACCCTTCGTCAGTGACCCTTCTGAAGAAATGTTAGTGTTCTGCTCATATTTAGTGTTCCAGAGAACTGCAAAAGCATTTGGAATACAGAAACAAGTTGGTAAATGTAATCCATATGCTTTTGGAATTTATCCTCCCTCACAGATAATCCAAATGATAATCTGATAAAATGGTATCTATTTGAAGTGTGTTCTAAAAGTTGTATCTCCCAGTTGCTGAGCAAAGATGTAGGAGCCAATATCCTGATTCAAGCATGGGAAAATGCTTGGTTCTAAGAATTTGGGATTAAGCTTTTCCAGGTAGGAATGTTGATTGAGTATCTTTTTAGTTCAATGTTCAGATGCATTGAAATTAAACATACTCATATAGTGCCATCTTTCTTCAAAGCAAAAGTAAAATCATTGCACCAATCAATTAGTGCTCAACTTTGCAAATGATGTTGTTTTGTACCATTATGATCCTGAATGTACTTACGAGGAGTGTTGATGCTGGGCTGTACATCTTTCAGATGTAACACTGCATCTCTTTAAAGATTAAAGGTGTTTTAAAGTTGCTAATGGAATTAAAGAGTCTAGTCAAGTCAAGGATAGATTTGATGTTACGGTATGGAATCTTTGGTGTTGGAACTGATGAGTTCATTACCCTATTGATGATAATAATACTTTCAACCATGCATGCTGGTAGACCAATGATGGAAGGTCCTGCTGTATCAATGATGTAAAACATTTCTGGTGTCCATCACAAGGAGCCTTATCAACATTTAAGATGGATAATGCCAATGCAAGAGATGTCAGTCTCATTGTAAGCTGTTAGTTTATGATGTGTGGACTGCATAACACTCTGCCAGTTTCTTGAGTACTTTTCATGAAAAATGCATAAAGGGATGATGTTTACATTTGTACAACTGTCAATTTTGGCATATAGCTCACATTGCCTTTTTCTTTTAGCATATGTCACTTGGATGGAGGTAAAGGCTTCATTTTTTTTGACAGCATCCATGCGGTGTGTCAGATTAAGCACGTGTACAGTCTGACTGGAGTCTGTAGGCTGTATCATTACAGTTAACTCTTGGAATTGCTTGCATGCAATGAAAAGAAGTTTAGAAATGCCTTTGACATTTTTCTTTTGTTGGTTTGTCTTCAAATATTGGTGTACAGTGAAGTGTTGCAATTCAGGTTTCTCCGAGGACATGGACTTCTTGTATATTTTAGTTTACTTCTTGTGGAACAGGAACTTGCATATGAAATGCTGGGCAATATTTTGGTGGGTAAAACAGCCCACATCTCTTACAGGATTTGACTGTGTTGCTGAACCTATTGGCAGCTGCAATAGTGTTGCAGACTGGAGGACCTATCAGTGTTGCTGTCCTGCTACATTTACTTTGAGCCTGCATTCTTCTTCTTGTGCCAATGTAATAATCTTTAAGTTTGCAAAGCAGGGCCTTTCAGGGTCAGAGGCAGTGACCATTCCATAAGCCTTTCAGTTATGTTAGCTTTGGTGAATCAATATCTGTCTATGAATTGGTTGATTGTTTCATTGCCTGCTGTCAATATAAAATGAACATAAGCCTATGTACCCTGAAGTTGATTTGGATTTTAAGCTGATCGTGTAAAAATTGGGAAGCTGTGACAAGATCCTTGCAGCTATCGCAAAAAATATCAGGGTTTTCATTTTACTTATCCTTCATTTCTCAATGTGATAAGAAGTTTGACTGCCCATCTTTCTTTAACAGCCTTTGGTCTATGGAGATTTGTTCTTTCTTTCAATAACTGAAGTTCTGACAAGATGCCACTGGAGTGCCAATCCATGATCAGATATTTGCTTTCTGTTCTTACTCTGCAGCATTTGCTCTTTAAGAGTGTCAGTACAAAAAGAATCTGTATTGCAGTGTAATGATGTTATTAGAGTCATGGAGTCATTGAGTCAGACAGCGCGGAAAGAGATCCTTCAGTCCAACAAGTCCATGCCAAACACAATTCCAAACTAAACTATTCCCACCTGCCTACTCCTGGCTCATATCCCTCCAAACCTTTCCTATTCATGTACTTATCTAAGTGTCTTTTAAATGTTGTAACTTGACCACATTCACCACTTCCTCAGGATGTTCATTCTACATGCACACCACCATCTTGTAAAAAAGTTGCCCCTCATGTCTTTTTAAAATTTCTGCCCTCCCCCCTTAAAAATATGTCACCTTGTCTTGAAATCCTCCATCCCAGGGAAAAGACACCTACCATTAACCCTATCTATACCCGTCATGACTTTATAAACCACTATAAGGTCACCTCTCAACCTCCTACACGCCAGTGAAAAAAAGTCCCAGCCTATCCATCCTTTTTTATAACTGAAACCCTCCACTTCTCTCCTTGTTGCGGATTTCTCCTTTTATTTTGAAAGAACTAGCTGAGCAGTGCCTGGATGTTGCTTTGGTTCCATGCAAGTAATGGAGTGAAGTAATGCATGCCTTTTACTGCTTTTATACCATTTCCAAAAAGACAGAATAGCAGAATCTACTGACAACTAGGTACAGATAAGCTTGAGCAAAAAATAGCATGATGTTTTTGTCTAATGTTTTGGTTGCGCTTCCTTCCAGGATTTTTTTTTTAAATTGGACATACTGTGGCTTTGTGCTTTTTCTTAAAAGAAGGAGAGAGTATTGACAACTGTTCCTCTGCTAACAGTATCATATTTCAGTACAGTTGTTGTCTACAGCATTGATTGCTAGATATGAATTGCAGATTTGAACTCAGACAGATGACAGGTGACAGTTAACTAAATAATTCTCACAACTGCCATTTATATTATCACCTTCTAGTCTTTGGTACTGACTTGTTGTAGCTGGTTTCTGGTGCTCACTTGTTATCACCCAATCTTGTAACATCTACTTGCTGCAACTATGTAATGTTCTTTTCTATTTGTTAGCTTGTGTAACATATACTGCAGGCACCTGTGTCCTTATTGAGACAGATATCTGGAAATTAATTAACAATAAGCTACATATGCTGATATGACATCTTAGATTTGTATGTTGTCTGAGTTATATCTTTATTTATATCACTAGTACATTACATACAGAGTTACTAACTGGCTAACTGACTGACTGTTCAGAGAATGAGACATTTTATTCTAGAGTGTCACATACTGTGATATAATCTAGCTACCTTTTTGAGATTAATACAATGCAGAGTGGCTAAATACCAGGGAGCACGGATATAAGAGTGTTTTGGAGGAGAGGAGATCATTTTTCGCCTAGAAGTGGTTAAGGCTCAGAACTCACCGATTGCAAAAGTGGTAGATGCTGAAACACTCACGACATTTAAAAAGTAATTGTTTGTCTATTTGAATAGCCATGATCTGCAGGACCATGGACCTACTGCAGGAAGATGAAAATTAGACTGGGTATGACCAGCACAGACTCAAATCGGAAAATTGTTTTCTTTCTGCATCATAAACTTTCAATCATTTCCATAGATAAGAGGCTTAACCTATTGGTTGACTCTGTTAAATATCTCTTTTCGTCACCATAATTAGAGAGTTCCAGGAAGGAAATATAAAAACTTAAAAAAAAAACTAATGAACTCTGAAGAGGAACTCTGAGTTAAATTCTGTCAGGAAAAAAATGTATCTTTTGGTTTTGATATTGAAGCTAGCCAGTGAATTGAGTCCATAATGAAGTTATTTGTGCTGTTCCAGGAGAACAGAATTAGTGGAGTATCTATGAACTAATAAAGCTTTCAGCTGAATACAATTTTGTCAATAATCACTTCACTACAGCAGCTAGTGATTTATGAAGACAGAAGCTCTCTGTTCTAGAAAATCACTGGATGCAAGTACAAGTCCAGAGTAGGACTAAGGCTACACACTGTAAACCAGTTTCATAGTTATGCCCTCTTCCATGATACAGACAAGTATCCAGAATTGAGCACCTTTAAAACATTTAAGGGGAAGCAATAGCCTAGTGGTATTATTGCTGGACTGTTAATACAAAAACACACGTAATGTTCTGGGGACCTGGGTTCAAATCTCACCGCAGCAGATGATGGAATTTGAATTCAATAAATATCTATTCAATATCAATTGTCGGGAAAAACCCGTCTGGTTCACAAATGGCCTTCAGGGAAGGAAACTGCCATCCTTACCTGGTCTAGCCTTCATGTGATTCCAGACTTACAGCAATGTGGTTGACTCATAACTGCCCTCTGGGCAATTAGGGATGGGCAATAAATGCTGTCCTAGCCAGCAACACCCTCCTCCCATGAATGAATAAAGAAAGTTTGGAGGGATATGGGACAAGTTTAGTTTGGGATTATGTTCGGCATGAACTGGTTGGATCGAAGGGTTTGTTTCCGTGCTGTATGACTTCATGACTCTATGAGTAAATTGATCCAAATAAAGTCACTCAGAATTAAAGGGTAGATGTAGAGAAGATGGTTCCACCCGTGAGCAAGTCCATAACAAAAGGTCAGAATCATAAGGGAATCCCTAATGGATCCAATAAGGAATTCAGGAGAAACTCAAGACTGATGAGAACCAGGGACTTGCTATCAAATACAGGAGTTGAGATGAATAACGGACAAAATTAAAGGAATGATGGATAAGTATACAAATTGCTGGTTGCAATGTATGATAAGTGGTAACAGAGGGTGCATCATTTGTAAAACTTACTTTGATATTAAGTTTTAGTTCCTCATCATCTGCATTGTTATTGCTTTTTACCAGGATGTTTTCCAGCTTCAGATCTCTGTGAATAATATCTTTAAAAGAAGATACTTAATTAAAATAAATGAGTGTTGAGGAATAGAGTAAGTCTAAAATAATTATCACAGCTTTCATGTCAATGTGACTATATCTAATCAGACAGGACATGCTGTCAAGTTTGAGATTTCAAGACCTAGCAATCTACTGCTCAAAGCCCAGATAAATCAATTGTATTTTCATTTGCTAGTATTCATTCCATAACTCTGTAGGGAGTAACCGCTAGGCACCAAAGGAATTAATAACTGGAAAAGTTTCCCTGGTGCTATCTCCCATTGGAATAATGGATTCATCCTCAATGTTTTAATTTTACTGAATTTCAAAATTTCACTAGTCTGGTTTGTTTGAGATTCCTGAGCCTGGAATCTTGAATGGGTGCTCTTAGTTTTATTCTGACGACGGTACAAGTTCAAAGCTTCTATAAATACTTCCTTGGATTCAGCGACATCACTGCAAGCCAGTCACAAAACTATCACAGAGATAGCAAGAACTGCCAATGCTGGAGGCAGAAGATAAAAC